TCACACAATTTAATTTGCTTTTAATTTATTTTTTTAATGAATTTTAAATTTTAAAATATTAAAATAATATTATATTATATTTAAAACCATGTGGCTCTAGGCTCCACACACGTGCCATGTTAATAATTTAACAGAAAATTTGACAGAAACTAACGACATGGATCATTTTGATGTGTGGAGGATAACCTTAAGGATTATTGGTGTCACAAAAAAATGTTAAGGACGAAATGTGATAATTTCGTAAATCTCAAAGATCATTTGTGATAAAAAGCCAATAAAAAATGAAAAATGGATGTAGGCCTTTCAATATGGGCTGCGGCCACGAGCCCTCAGCCAACTCCTCCTACATCAAAACCTACTGGCCAGGCAAAGCTACTAAACACTCATACCATTAGGAAAGATTACCTTGGTTCATTGATAGACAAATGTCGTGATTCTACTGGTGGGAGAGAGTCAACAATGATATAAAATATCATAATCTATATTTTTCTAGCTACAAATGTATACTGACTACTTTTATTTTTAATTAAATGGCGAGGAAAATTCGATCTTGGTATATATCGAAATAATGTTGTTGAGAAAAAAAAGTACTACTAAACTAAGAGTTAGTTGGTGTTTCTATCAATGATTTGATGTCGGATGTCAAATTGTAAACGCGAAGTTACATTGTAATACTCTTTTCGTAAGTACGTGGAATTTTCCTTGCTCTTTCATGAAATGCAGTATTTATTGGTATTATGTTCAAATGAACAGTGGTCACTAGTCAAAAACACAAATTTCCACACCGCGTCTGAATTAATTACTCTGAAATTAATGATAATATTATCGAGCCACAGAACGAATCTTTATTGACTTACTCAAGTCTTCTTGTGTTCCCTGGTGGTCGTCCTGGCCGCACTGACTGGGGCAAAAGCTTTGATCATTTACGAGCACTTTGCTCCATCAAGATATAAACCAAAGAGGGCATGTAGCTCATAAAAGTGTAATGACGAACTCTTTTGGCAGGTACCTAAATTCCTTACTTGTTCTGGGTTGTTCATGTTTTTACTTTTCTTGCTTCTTTCTATGTTTGTCTGCCGAAAAACCCTGTGAGAGAAACATAAGCCAAAAGAGTACTTTCCAGTTTTACAATCTATGTGGTTTTTGATTCTTCATTGATGGAAGGAAAACTAGCCTGAGCTGACCCACAGATGCATTTTCTGGCTTAGCCGATTTCCCACTTTTTCCTTCTGTTGCAGGGGTCTGAGCAAGGAATTATTTATCTCTGATTTTCTTATACCTTTTATCAGTGATTTAACCAGGCATTTTGGTTTTCTCACTATGATTAATTTTAACTTTAATTTTATAAATCATTGAACTTCTGGGTTTTGTTTGTTCATGCTTTCGTAGTTGTTTGAGAACAGATTTTTGTTTTAGTTTCCTTCGATTTAACAGAGCTTAAAATTGAAAGATTGCTTGTGCATTGCAGTTTGGATTGTGTTTTAAATTTCTGTCCTTCACCAATTAGTATGCTCATTGGGGTGTGTGTGTGTGTGTGTGTTTTCCCAAAAGAGATGAAAGATTTGTTAACTCTTCCCTCCCGAAATTTGTAGCAATATAGAGGATATACATGAAGAGTTGTGTCTTTATTTATGAACGAGATTATTATCTATAATTTGCTCTAAATTTGTACAATTTCATCTTCTTCGTTTTGTTAAAGTAATCTCTTTCTTCTCTTCTCCATCCCCTTTTACTGGATTAAGCTGATTCTTCGTTTTTCTGTCTTTATAGCTAGATGTTCGATGGTCAGAAGGGGCAATAAAAATAGGAAAGTGCTTCAACCAGGGAATACGCTTAACTGATTTAGTCTTCATTTTATAGGCAGTAGGTGAAATCTTCCTTCTGTTCTAATAAAGGATTTGGCAGAGAATATTAGAATGGCATTGGAGCTTATACCTATTGGGACCATCTTGGCCGTGCTAACAAACCAGGTCATTAAAACAGCTAATGCTGCTAAAGATGTTTTCGAAAAAGAGAGTTTCAAGGTCCTGTCAAAGCACTTGTTTGACATTGAACTGGTCTTAAAAGAACTGCAGCATCAAGAACTGAATGATTCTCAAGCTGCTAGGCTTGCTTTGGAGTCCCTTGAAACAGATGTTAAAAGGGCTAACAGTCTGGTTGAGAAGTACAAAAATCGAGCTCGTTTCTACTTGCTTGTCAAGTGCCGACACATAGTCAAGGAGGTACAAGACGTTACCAGGGATATTGGTAGGTCATTGGCTGCTCTATCCCTGGCAAATACTGAAGTTTTATCAGGGATATCTGATCAGGTGAATAGGTTACAGAATGAGATGCAAAGAGTGGAATTTGAGGCTTCCCAGTCTCAGCTCCAAGTTTTTGACAAGCTAAACAAGGGTCTTAAAGATCAGACCCTTGACCAGGGTTTTGCAAATGACATGCTTGCAGAAATAGCTATGGCAGTTGGAGTGCCTTTAGAACCCTCAGAGATAAGCAAAGAGCTAGCAGATTTCAGAAAGGAGAAAGAAGAAGCTGCCAGCAGGAAGGAAAGAGCTGAAGTTTTCTTCTTAGAGCAGATTATTGAGCTGCTCTCTCGAGCTGATGCTGCAAGGGATTATGAAGAAGTCAAGAAGCAATACAAGCAGCGTGTTCAGGCCATAGAGAGATATGACACAAGCGAAGAGTATATTCAACCGCTCAAGCCTTTTATTTGCTGTATAAAAGGAACTGTGATGGTTGAACCAGTCAGCCTTTGCACTGGTACTACATGTGAGAGAGGCGCCATCATAGCTTGGTTTGACAGTGGAAAGAGAACTGACCCAGAAACACATGAGGTTCTTGAAGATACTTTATGGAGAAGTAACCTTCCATTGAGGCAATCAATAGAAGAGTGGCGAGAACTTAATTACTGCCTCAAGATAAGATCTTCCAAGGCAAAGCTGTTATCAGGTGTTGAGACGTCCATGTTAGATGCCTTAAGCCAAATGCAAGATCTTATGCGAGAGAATTCTATTAACAAGGACTGGATTATGATTGAAGGGCTCACTGATATTATAATCTCTATCCTTGGAAACTCTCACAACAGAGATGTGAAGAGGAAGATTTTGATCACCTTAAAGGATATTGTAGAAGGGCATGCAAGAAACAAGGTAAGCATCTTTGGTACTCTTTGTATACATGGAAGAAAAAAAAAAACCAAACTAAGAAAGATCCCCTTTCTTTGATTCTTTTAATTTTCCTCCCATGATTTGAATTTGTTGAGTATACAATCTATTATTGCATAGTTTTACGAAGCTATGAATTGTTTTACGGTTGTTGTAGAATTTCATGTTTCTAATCCTTCTGAAAACGAATGCAACCCTTAAAAAAAATTACTTGATGATTCAATTTTCTTGTTGACCTTACTAAAAAATAAAAAGTTTCATTGTTCTTTTTTATGTCCTGAAAATATACGAAACGTTTTGGAGTATTCTAAATCTCTTTTGAAAAAAATCTTTTAGGAAAAAGTGGTTGAATCCCAGGGGTGGGATCACATTGTTCCCTGCTTAGGCCGTGACTCAAGCATCTCAAAGGCTGCAATTGAATTGCTATATGAATTGTTGCAAGACAGATCTGGTTGGAATTTGTCTGTCTGCAGGAAACTCTCTGAACAGGGCAGTGCAATTCTTTTCCTCGTTTATACCCTTTTAAAGGGTACTGTGAGGGAGTCAGCTGAGATTGCGGAGAAAATCTTGATGAAACTTTTTGACATAGATGAGGAAAACATTTCTTGTGCAGCTAAGTCTGGCTGGTATAAGCCACTTATTGATCGCATAGTTCATGGTAAGAGGATTCATTTACTAGGACTATAAAATTTCTTTATATTCAATTCCTTCAGTCACATAAAAGAATGAAAAGAGGGATGTAATCAGTAGATCGCAAATTCCTTTTACTACATTGTTCTTACCAGAAACAGTAACTGAATTCGAGGGGAAAAAAGATATTGAGGAAATCTACTAGTCAGTGTGCTTATTTACAAGCCTATTAGGACACTGTGGATTCACTCCATTCCATGATAGTCAGATATGCTAGTAGCTTTTCCTTTATGTGTGAGTGTATGGCCAGATGTTTTAACAATTAGTCTCATTCTCTAGTGTTTAAATGAGATATGTCATGTCCTCTGCATGAAATAAAGCTGTAATTCTGAATTGCCTATAATCCTTTTAACAAAGATTAGTTGATACAATTTGTCATTCTAAATTTTTTCAGGGCCTGAAACTTCAAGGTTATCAATGGTGAGAACACTTGTTAACATGGAATTGGTTGACTCAAATTTGAAGCTCCTCGGTGAGGAAGGGGTTATACCTCCTTTGCTTGAAATGGCATCTGGCAATATTGAAGCAAAACAGTTGTCCTTATCTGCCTTGGCTGAATTGTCAAGTTGCAATACCAACAAAGAGCTGGTTGCAGCTTCTGGTGGGGTTCATCTTGTTCTAAAACTAGCGTTCTCTCCCCATGTTCGCTCAATCATTGTTGTTAAATGTTATGAAATCCTGGAAAAATTCGCTTCTGATGCTGATGGGGTTAAATTCTTTGTTGATGAAAATGGGAGCCAACTCGAGTTAGAGCCAATTGTCACCAATTTGATTGCGTTACAGCAGAATCCCAAATTGGCCTACAATGTCCGGAGGCCTTCCTTGCGCACACTACTTGGAATCTGCAAGTTTGATGCAGGGTTGGTTAAAAAGGCGGTTGTCACTGGCGATGCCATATCACTGGTCCTTCCTCTTCTTGATGACTCCGACTCTGAGATTCGAGAGATTGCAATAAGTTTGCTTTTCCTCTTCTCCCAGCACGAGCCTGAGGGGGTTGTTGAGTACCTTCTCAAGCCAAGAAGGCTGGAGGTTTTGGTGGGGTTTCTTGAGAATGATGACAAGGATGATGTACAGATGGCTGCTGCTGGCATATTGGCTAATCTGCCGAAATCAGAAAAATCACTAACTACGAAGTTAATTGAATTGGATGGTCATACTGCAATCATAAATATTTTAAGAACAGGGACCATGAAAGCAAAAGAAAATGCTCTAAGTGCTCTTTTTAGGTTCACAGATCCCACAAACCTGGAGTCGCAGCGTATACTGGTTGAAGGAGGAGCATACCCTTTGCTTGTAAACTTTCTCAGGTCCAGCTCAGTGACTGCAAAGGCAAGAGCTGCAGCTCTGATTGGGAATCTTTCCACAAGCAGTCAAAAGCTCGCTGTTGTGTCCAAACCATCCGGATGCTGGTGTTTCAAGCCATCGGGTGCTCCTGTTTGCCAAGCACATGGTGGCACCTGCAGTGTCACTTCCACATTTTGTGTATTGGAAGCAAAAGCTTTGCCTGACTTGGTAAGGCTCTTATCCGGGGAGGTTTACGAAACTGCCATTGAAGCAATTCAAACTCTCTCCACATTGGTTCTTGAAGCCTCTCCTCAAAGAGGAGCCAATGTCTTGCATGAGGCTGATGCCATAAAGCCTACATTGGAGATCTTGAATTGGGGAACAGATTCTCTCAAGGAAGAGGCATTGAGTCTACTTGAAAAGGTTTTCTTGTCAAAGGAGATGGTTGAATTTTACGGATCAACTGCCAGATTAAGTCTTGCTGGTCTAACTGGCAGTAATTTTCATGAGGATGGTCGTCATAGGAGGAAGGCTGCCAGGGTCTTGTCACTCCTTGAACGTTATTCAAGATCATCTACATCTATTATTCCTGGGCTGTATGGCTAAAAGTTCTGCTTATCAGATCAGGAAGAAAGAAAAAAACACTTAGAACTTTGCTTGAGAATTGTGATTACAGTGATCAAGTTGGGAAATTTAGTACATCAATCTCAGTTCATATAGGGTTTAGTATACATGATTTGGAACTTTCAGTATACATTGGTCAAGATGGGTGGGCAAAAGATTTTAATGTACAGTCATGTTTTCATTTCAGGCAAAATGCTTATAAAATCTTCATTTAGAGCACCATGCCATTACACTCGAATTTGTCAATTGGCATGCTAATCAAAATTCTCATATAAACACATAAACATAACATGTGCATATGGGACATGTTTTAAAGCTCAACCAACTAAAGCCGTCATAAAACAAATAGCACCAATATTTGAGTTAGAACTCATGGGCTAGTTTCTTGGAGTTTTGAGTTCATATAAGAATTTAACGACGATTTTTGAACATTTGTTTTACACACAAAAGAAAAGCTTCAAACTAATCAAGTACACCTATTTTTGTACAATATAATTATATTAGTGATGAAATAATAATACTAATAATGCCTCTCAAAATAATAATGACTACAAGACTTTTCGCATTTTTCAGATAATTTAATCATGAATAGAAAAGAGAATGTTAATTTTGAATTTGATGGCTTACTAAAAAAATTAAATCCACCCAAAATGTCAAATATCATAATAGTTTTATTATATTATGATAAAATATAATATAATAAAATAGGAAGAGATTCATGGTTCCAATTTTGCCCTTACATCTTCATTCTTAGCGTTGTGCAGATTATTGTTTCTGCGGCATTGTATTTAAAACTTAGAAGAAATAAAGAATTATTAGAGGAGATATATGCAGCAAGGATAGTATATAGGAAGAGATTCATGCATCCAATTCTTACTAAAATCAAACAGAGATTTGAGAGATCTCATCTTTATGAAACCTCTACATGTGAGAATAAAATTGGATTTTCCTGATCATGAAAATGCTGAACAAGCAAAGATATTATTCTAAGGGACTGCAAAGTTGAAGTCAATGTATTATTCATATATTTGCCATATGTGATCATCAAACTCGAGAATTTCTTGGCAGCTAGACTCTATGCTAGCACTCTTCTTACCAAACAATACTATTTCTACATTAAACAATCCTTAATTACCCTTTAATGACCTATAGCATGTCCAACTTGGGCTATAGCCTAGGTGAGTTTAATTCTTTTCTTATAGTTAGTGTTAATGCTAAGTATATATAATCAATTTTTGATGGCATTGTTGGTGTAAAATAGGCCTCTTTAAATTTTTTTTTTTTTTTTTAAAGATATGTTCTTAAATTAAATTAATATATTTATGATCAATTCCATCAGTCGCCCTATAAGGGTTTAGCCGAGCCTAAACTCTAACAGTCTAGTAAGGTAAATCTAGCCTATCTCATTTTGAAATCCTGAGTCTATCCCTGGATACCCACCCACTTATTAAAGTTGACATGAAAAAAGTAATTTTCAATGAATTTTGTGTGCCCAATTTCTTATTTCTTCGGAAAATATTTTGACAAATTACACGTTTTGTTAAATGTTCATTGTGAAGAGACATGTTGACAGCAAGCAACATACTGCCATACACAGACGCAGCAGAAAACATATAGCTCCAGCTCATATATCATAACATATATAGATGAAAATTATAAATTAGGCCTCTTGAACCCATTTAAATAATAATAATAATAATAATAATAAATAAGATCGAGCTATGAAAAATACTTTAACTTAAAGATCTAGTTGGTGACGATTGCTGTGGGCAAAACAGTTTGGATATATCTCGTGGTTGTTTGGTTGAAGGTGATTCTAAAGTACACGTTGTTGACTTTACACATAGAAGTTGTTATGCATACATACACATGCATTAATTAACATGTCCCATTGTATATATTTTTACACATTTGTGTGGCTATATATATCTTTATATATATTTTGGATACCAAAGGCATGTGTGTGGTGGTAAGGAGACTATTCTTTGGTGTGCCTTTTGATGATGATAGAAGAAGAAGAAGAAGAAGAAGGCAGATGCTTATCATGCTCTCCACCTACATCCAGTGCAACAATTAATATTAGTGATAGGCTCAATTAAATTGTTTGGGCCCTTTTCCATTGAACCTCATATACTAAGATCAATGCGAACTTTCCTACTTCGTGACAAATTGAGTAGCAGATATCCTCCAATTATAGCTTGTGATGCCGGTCTTAAGTGGTGCTACGTACATTTAACACCGGAAGAGATAGACAAGAAAAAAGAGAGTAAGAGACAAAAACAAAATTATAGCCAGTGTGATCGTATATGTATATATATAGCCTTTATGTATAATTAAGATTTTGTGACCCGAGACATTATTTTAACTCGATAGTACTTGTCAGTGTGGCGGAGCTAGGAATTTATGTGTTGGGGGGCCAACATATATATAAATCAAATAGGACATTAAAAATTTTCAATTTTTCAATCTTAACAATGTTTGTAAAAATAAAAGGCAGAAAATAATTGTTTATTCAATTACGTATCAAAATAACACTCGTCGTTCTTTCATATCTCGAAAACCATTAGGAACAAAAATTTAGTGAATGCTAAAACCATTTGTAATTGAGTCAATGCTAAACTTTGCTTCATATAGGAACAAAAATTTAAATCCCAATCCTTTTTTATTTGGGTAAAAGTCTACTTCTTATTTAATAAAGGAGATTTTTTGAAACTTTATTTGATCGACTACTTTTATGTTTTATTAATATATTGGTGAGCCCAAAATTACTAGTCTTTCTATTTGAAATCACTTACTCTTTCACTTGCAAAGAGAGAGAAACGTATCTTTTCTTTTGTGAGGGGGCCACAAACAGTTTATTATTATATAGACTTTCTAAATGTGTAGGAAAGCAAGAGCAAAAATTAAATGGAGTAAAAAATTCAGGGCTTAACAAGGCTCCGCCACTAAATCTGATAGTACTTGTCACATAACGCTACCACAAAACGGAGAAGTCATCACTCGAGTTTTTCCTCATATACCAATGGTACAAAGAAAGAAGTGGATTGCCTAATGTGTACTAAATAATTTACACACATGAACCGATATTCTTATTAAAAAAGTAAATTGAATAATGAAACGACATAGTAACTCTTCAAGACAAGTACAGATATATAAGCACCAATCCTATAAGCAGAGATTTCAACTCATGATTAGTACAGCTACATGTCATCAAGCAAACCCACGATCAACTGGGCATGCTTATTGGTTAGTCGTTAATTGCACGTGCATGTACCCATGATGGGTTTAGAGAGGAGGACAAATCTGAACCACATGCCTGAGAGAAGGTTTTAAAGCAAGTGATTACTTTTTTCAACATCTTACTATCATGGGTTCTAAACCTTCTCTCAGGTATGTGGTTCAGATTTGTCCTCCTCTCTCTCTCTCTCTCTCTCTCTCTCTCTCTCTCATTTAGTCTTTTATCCCGTTTTGAGTGTTTAAAACATTAATTCGTCGCTCTCTCTTAGTTCAGCAAGCTACTTAACTATACATGTTGAAAGTTTCTAAGATCAAATTACGTGCAATATGCTAAATATATGAGTCAAGCTACCTATATTGATTCAAATTTGTAAAAAAAGTTTTGGAATCAAAAGTAAACCCTTTCTCGTGAGTATTGAAATCCCTATCTTTACGTCATATATTTGAATTGTATACCCCTCGTTTCTGATTGAAAGGCATAGGTTTGGTTGAAGCTGTTCATTGAAAGGAAACTAATCTTCTCCTTGACAGCGTTCGTGTCTCTTATCTTATGTGCCTCCAGTAGTAATAGATGCACAAGTGGGGTATGTGCTATGCTGTAAAGTGTACGTACTTCATGAAATTCTTTCATTAGAGTGGTTATTTTCTACTTTGAAAAATGTTTGGCTCCTGCAGGCAAGTATTCATTCCTTGTTAATTACAAACCAATCACAACACCTACGTGCTGACTTAAAATGAGGAATTGCGTCATTAAGGAGTAAAGTAATGACTTATTATAAATCCGAATTCTCTACTTTTACGTTTGGCGTTAGTATTGTGACGATGGAATGGACGATTGTTCTTTATTTTTATTTTTTTTAGTAAAGAACAGATTGTCGATAGGTTATTGATAATGTGTCAATATAATTGTCGTCAACAAAATATACGTACATGTTATCGATACAATATCGATGCATACATGTTTTGCAAAAAAGAATTTATTGTTATGCTTATATACTCTGGAACTGCGTTGTTTTAAACTTTCATTTGATTATCCTAAATTTTTCTTTTATATATAAAGGCTTTCAAAGTATTTTTACGTCAAACTAAGATTAGAGTGTTCAAGGAAACTGATAGCCATACAAGAAAAAGTACAAGTAGATTAACAACAATCTTCGCATTTTCTTAGCTAACATCACATGCAAAACCCCTAATAACCTAAAATGCACCTTTCTTCCCTTGTGTAATTTTTTAGGTAAAAGGAGGTGTCATTAGGTCCCCACTACTTAATATGAGCTTCATATCATGTTAACCCACGTATAAGATATCATTGATTTAGACAAAAATGAAGCATTTTTCCAAGAGTAAGACAACAAGACAAGAAGATATGCCTCAGACGATACCACATACAACCAAAGAAGAAATATTGGGATTATTTCGTGCAAGGCTTATTTTCCCGTCTACCACGACTAACGTAAACAGATTAGAAGTAGTGCCAACTTTTTTGGCCTGACCCAAATTACCCAAATTTTTTACATAAATTTATTCACCTACCCATTTCCCATTACGTAATTACAAGTGCAAGCGAAATTGATCTGGTCTGGTCTGGTGGATAATTTGTTGGTGAGAAGTTTGTGCATTTAATTAGAGAGGGACGGGTTACGTTTGTTGACAGGAGCTGTCAGAAAAAAGAGACACCAAATTAAAGAGAGGGGATGACCTATAAGAAGGTCAAAGGTCGCAATAACTTCATCTATATATCTGTCACCGGCCTTCTTTTAACTCGAAGCAGCAAAGCCCATCAGGGCTTCTTTCTTTGCTTTCTGTTGTTTTCCAAAACAACCCTAGAGTGTCCAATAAAACACAGAAATGCCCTAACACATCTACATCCATGTATGAGCATTTATATCGATTCCACTATATACTGACGTCACCAGAGAGCTATATATTTATCTATATTGAATATGGGTAATGTGTGTTTTGAAATTTGACAGAAACTTAACGAAATAAT